AAAGCAGGAGGGGGCAACACGGAAGGTATTCTCATTGTTCCTGAGAAACGAGGACAATCAACTAGTTACACCTTAGGTGCCTATACACGAATGCACAGAGCCTGGGAAACAAGCAGGAAGAACTGGAAGTCCTCGCACAGTCACAGAACTATGATGTGATTGGAATAGCAAAGACTTGGTGGGAGCTCGCATGACTACAGCACAGTCATGGATGGGTACAAACTGTTCAGGAAGGACAAGCAGGGGAGAGGAGGAGGAGTTGCACTTTATGTAAAAGAGCCATATGATTGCTCAGAGCTCCAGTATGAAACTGGAGATAGGCCTGTGGAAAGTCTCTGGGTTAAGGTCAGAGGGGAGAGCAATAAGGCTGATGTTGTGGTGGGGGTCTGCTATAGACCACTAGACCAGGAGGACGTGGTGGATGAGGCTTTCTTCAAACAGCTGATGGAAGTTTCCCAGCCACAGGCCGTCGTTCTCATGGGGAACTTCAATCGCCCTAACATCTGCTGGGAAGGCAATACAGCAGCGCGCAGGCAATCCAGGAAGTTTTTGGAGAGCCTTGGGGACAGTTTCCTGGTACAAGTGCTGGAGCAGCCAATTAAGGGCTGTGCTCTAGGGTTGTGCGAAGCTTCGGTCCCTGATTCGATTCAACGGAGATTTGGCCCGATTTGGTAGCCGAATCTCTGAATCCGAATTGAATCAGAGGACCCTCTCATCTCTCCAAATTGAATCAGAACCCTCCCTGGATTCAGAGAGATTCAGAGAGATTCAGAGAGATTCGGTGATTCAGACAGACACAGCTTTAAATGTTTTTTCTACATACCTCTAGGTAGCATGTGGCTCACGAGTGCTGCAATGCTGGGGCAGATGGAGCGTCCCATGCGAGCATGGGGGGAGGGCATCCCCAGTGCACTCAGCATACCCGGAAGTGAACCAGAAACACTTCTGGTCCACTTCCGGGTCCACCGGAGAGTGCGCTGGGTGGCCCCCCCTTTGGCTCAGCAACTGGTGCCTTCTGGGTCTGGGGGGGCACCTGGGGTCCCCCCACGGTCAATCAGTGAGCCATGAGGTGTGGGAGGGCCCCCCACGACTCCCTGGTGGACCCGGAAGTGGACTGGAAGTACTTCTGGTCCACTTTCAGGTTCACTGACGAGCACATGGGTGGTCCCCCCACCCCACACTCCTTTGGGACGCTCCATCTGCCCCAGCATCACAGCAGTCATGAGCCGCACTGGTACCTCAAGGTACATAGAAAAAAAAATTTAAGCTGTGTCTGAGTCTGAATCCCTGATTCTTCGAATCAACATTGAATCTTCAGAGTTGGGTTCAGTTGAATCGAATCAGAGACAGTGATCCGAGTCAACAAATTGAACCCCTGTCCCTGATTCGGGCCAAATCCAAATCCGAATTGAATAGGGCCCGCTTTGCACACCCCTACTGTGCTCTTCTTGACCTGTTGCTCACAAACAGGGAAGAATTGGTGTTTAATGTACTAGCAGATGGCAACTTGGGCAGCAGCGACCATGAGATGACTGAGTTCAGGATCCTGAGGAAAGGAAGGATGGAGAGCAGCAGAGTAAGGACCCTGAGCTTCAGAAAAGCAGACTTGGACTCGCTCAGGGAACTGGCGGTCCCCCCGGGAAAGCCAGTCTGAGGGGGAGAAGAGTCCAGGAGAGCCAGCTGTACTTTAAAGAAGCCTTACTGAGAGTTTAAGAACAAACCATCCTGATGTGCAAGAAGACTAGCAAGTATAACAGAAAATCAGCTTGGCTTAACAGGGAACTCTTCAGTAAACTAAATCACAAAAAGGAAGCTTGTAAGAAGTGGAAACTTGGACAAACAACTAGAGAGGAGTATAAGAGTATTGCTTGGGCATGCAGGGATGAAGTGATTATTCACTTCATCCCTGCATGCTTGGGCTATTGAGCACTGGTGAGGCCACATCTGGAGTAGTGTTCAGTTTTTGGCCCCCCACTACAGAAAGGATGTGGACAAATTGGAGAGACTCCAGTGGAGGGCAACAAAAATGGTTTTGGGGCTGGGGCACATGACTTGTGAGGAAAGACTGAGGGAAATGGGCTTATTTAGTCTAGAGAAGAGAAGACAGAGAGGATTTAATCGCAGCCTTTGACTACCTGAAGTAGGGTTCAAAAGAGGATGGAGCTAGACTGTTCTCAGTGGTGACACATGACAGAACAAGGAGCAATAGTCTCAAGTTGCAGCAAGGGAAGTTTATGTTAGATATTAGGAAGCATTTTCTCGCTAGGAGGGTAGTAAAACACTGGAACAGGTTACCCAGGGACGCTGTGTTTTGGAGGTTTTTAATACCTGGATAGACAAAGCCTTGGCTAGGATGATCTAGTTGGGGGTGGTCCTGCTTTGAGCAGAGGGTTGGACTAAATGACCTCCTGAGGGCCCTTCCAACCCTCATTTTCTATGATTCTGTGATTCTAAATCCTGTGCAGTATACCCAAGACGTGTAGTGGCATGCTGTAAATGTATAGAATCAGTAATTTCATGGACAAGATGCTGCACTAGATGTTCATTTTTAAATGAAACTGTAACAATTCTAATGTTCTTACATATTTCAAAGAAGTTTCACTAAGCCTAAAAATTATGATTATTTAGTAATGTTGACAGTTTGTGATACATTTGTATAGCATCCCACATGCTGAATAACCTCACAGTTTCATACAAAGTATAGATGGACCCAAAGCAACAGTAGTAATCTGGAATCAAGTCTCTATTGCAGGTTATTCAGCTCTGACAGTTCAGTTTATCCCATCATAAAGATAGGACTAGATATGTCATTCACATCTAGGGTATCAACCTAAACCTAAACCTGGGGACCAGGATTTAGATAGGCAATAAATAGCTGGGATTAACGTGCAATTTTACAGAATCTAACTATAAAATATCATCAGAAAGCCAGCAAGGTAGTCTCACTGCTTGATTTTTTTTAGTGGAACTGTCAGGATGAAATTATACGCTTCAGCATTTCATAACTGCAGAACATAGCATTCAGTAATTGTTTCTCAGTATGCATTGATACAACCCCTGGGACAACCTTAATTGAGGCTTCTAGAAACTAAATAATAATGATGGATTTATAATAGGAACATAGAACTGGACAGGACCTCCCAGGGCATTATTTCTAGTTCCCTGCAATTACAGGCAACAACATAATAAACAGGTATCCAAAGCAGCCCACAACAATATCCAGCCTGGTCCTTCCTGCACATCACAACCATAAAACAGCCCAAAAACCCCTATGATACCATGGGGGAAAAAGCAGAGAAAGACAGGAGTGCCACCTATTACAATAATTTTTAAGCAAAATATGCTTGTAGCTGAAGGCAGCTAATTTCCTCTCACAGAACAATGTTCTAATTGAATTCAGCACATTACAAATAAAGCAATTTTACCTCCCCTCACAGGGGAAGTTTTTATTATACAAAATGCATGGTAGATAAATATCAGATTAAAAATGAACAATTAAGCAAAAATAAACTGATTTTCTGTGAGTAACAAATATGGATTTCTAGCCTTCAAGACATACTAACAACCACCCTGAAACATTTTATTATGTATAATCACTGTCATATTGTTATGATCATCAAGGAAACAGGACCTGAAGCAGTAAAACTGAGGTTCTCTTAGTAGACATGTAAAAAAGAAATAGAGGTGTAAATATTGATAGATTACCATTGTCCCCCACCGTGACTGTAGACCATATGTTGGCCAATGTTCATTCACATGAATTGTCCAATTAAAATCAATGGCATGAAAAAGCCTTCACCAACATAAATGAATGTTCCACAAACTGATGCTAATTGAACTTCAAATATAGAACCTGTCTGAGGGTTTTGTAGAATCTCATTGTGAACACTTTATATGAAAAGAAAGCTATACAGGAAAACTCACACAAATGAATTTGCAGTGATCGCTGATTATCGACCTATATAACTATAAACATATTTTCAACAGATTATCTGACTTGAAAAAACAAATTAAGTATGCGTTTGATTCATTTCTGTTATACTTAAGGGTACTCACTGTAAAAAATGAAAAAAATCAATCCTATAATCCCTGGAAACTGCTCTAACAAGTCTTCATGGAAACTTTGAACTGTTCAAGAGAGAAATCAGGAAATCTTACAGAAGCTTTTAACCTTCCACCGTATCAGCTAGATTTTTCCAGGCAATTGAAGGCATCAATAAATCAAAAGAGATTAATGGTAATCATGTAGCAAACCTGATCCAGCAAAAAATAGTGATGCTAATAAAAAGTCTACAAAAAATCCAGATGATGGAACAAATTCATCCATGGTGCATTTACACTGAAGGTGTTAGTCAAAGAACCTGCAGCGAAGTTAAGGACACATTTGTCATCCCAGAAATTTCAGAGTATGTTGTCACCAATACTTGTACAATCACATTACCTGGATGCAGGTGTCATTGAGTACATAATCTAAAGGCTATGAAACTGCACAAGTATAATTCATGGTATAATGAATTTGCAGAACCTTTGTGACTGTGCTGCCATTCATTTTTAAACCCCAGGGATAGCAAGCAACTGTTGTTATTTTTTAATAATTGTTTTTGAAATAATTTATGTGATTTATTTTCCCTCTTTAAAATGCATACAAAATTAAAACAATATTTAATGTGCCCTCTGGAGACTGAAGTGTTCCAGGGCATCTTAAGAAGGTGTGCTAATGAGATGGTTCCAAAAAGAAAGCCTTTTCAACCTGAACAAAACTCAAACATTTTTCAAATTTAAGCTCATTTGTTCAGACTTAATTACCAGAATTAAGAGAGATGTAATTATCTTTAATATTTGATACTTGAATGCAAATGCATTTTCTTGAAACTACAGGACCCAATTCATTCTGGGAATAAGGCCAAAGCTGAATTTGGCCCATTGCCACTGAAAATGAAGTGCATGCTGTAAGATTAATAGAAAATCAGCATCAAAATATCCCCCAAACTGGCACTTACCTTGCAACCCTCCCCCGAAGATCTCCCAAACCAGAGAGTTGCCGCATTTCCAAACTCTTCAGGGTAGAATTAGTTCCATAGCTGAGGTTATCTCTGACACGTATTTGTTCCTGAAGCGTCTATAAAACATTAACGTACAAAAAGAATTCAACAGGCCACTAACTATATGTTCAGTTAGGCACTCATTATATTTTAAATACAATTCAAGCATAACCACACTTTTAATAACAACTGTGTTTAGGAATATGCTAAAACAGGAACACTATATTCATTTATGACTTCTTATTTTTAGGGCCCAATCAACATATAAAACTCTCAAATTCAGTTAAAATGCAAGGTATAGATGAGCAGCAGAATTGGACCCTCAAATATTAACTTACGCTTTCTCATTTTCCACCAAATCCCTTATTCTGTTAATGTCTAAGATACCAGGCTTGAAGCTGTTTGTCTAAGCAACTACTGGAATGTGTGTGTTATGTTGGAAGCAAAAGGGAGTGAGTGGCAGAGGTAACAGACATAACACTTGAACCGTTTCAAGAATGGCACTGAACAGAACAACATACATGGCTAAATGTTCTGAGCAGAGCCCTCGTCATTTAGGGACTGTATTGCTATCAAAATGCCACCAGAGGGCAATAGAGTACCCAGACCATCATGCCTTCCAGGGGTCACTGCCCAGAGTCTGTCCAAGATTTCTTTAGAGCAGGGGTGGGCAAAATATGGCCCCTGGACCAGATCTGGCCTGCCAAGGGATTTTGTCTGGCCCACGATGGATCCTTTGGCCCTGACCAGCCCAGGCATGGGGGGCAGCCTGGGGTGTGGCATGTGCAGCTGGTCCTACCACCCCCAGGTACACAGCGGAGCTAGGGTGGCATGGGAGCCAGACTCGCTTCGCAGCAGCCCCTACAGCGGCAACTTCTTCCAGCTGCTGCCGCTGGACCTGGCCCCATTGCCTGGGTACTCCACCTGACCATTGGAGGCAGCAGACAAAGTGGGCAGGCAGAGTCTCCATAGAGACTGGCCCAGAACTTGCACAGGCACCCGGACAGATGGGATGGGGATGCAGCATCCAGGAGTGGGATGGGTGGGCAGAGATTGTGCCAGGGCTGGGATTGGGATTAGGATTGAGATCACGGGGCAGTAGCAGAACTGGTACTATTTGCAGGGGTGTGTGGGGAGCAGGTCATGTCTCTGCCTCGGGCACCATCCCTGCACTGTCACTGCCCAGAGACCCTAATCCCAGCCCCACCCACCTGTCCGGCTTCCAGATGTCGCTTCTTGTCAGCCTGTGGCCCCATCCCATCCACTCAGCTATGTGCAGGGCACAGCCATTTAGGGAGTTTTGGAGAGAAGGTGGGTGTGCTGACCTGGCCCACAACAGCTCATCAAAACTCCCTAAGTGGCCCTCTGCCCATCCCTGCTCTAGAGGGAAGATCTGGACTGGGGCAGGGGACTAGAGTGAAGGGGTTGCCAGGTTCTGAGGGGCTTTGTGGCCCCCTGCTTGTGGTTCCCAGGGTGCTGGTGTGCTCAGCCCCTTCCTCAAACCTCGCTAGCTATTTTAACCATTCAACTACCCTGCATTGCCAGCAATTGCTCAGAGATAGGTATGCAGAGTGGAACCTGCACCTGCCTGGCAGGGCTGCTGCAAGAGTGCAGCACAGAGGGCAGGAGCAACTAACAGTTAATGGGCTAATTCACTGCACATGCATGGAATTGATAGCCATTCTATTCTGCTAAGTGCCCATTGTGCAATAGGTCTTTCCTCCCACCCCACCCAGCAATTGCTGGTGGTTACTGATACAGTCACAACCACCCACTCACCTAGACAAAGGGCTACAACTCCTCCCCACCACACATACACCTAGTTAATCCACCCCTCTAAATAAACCTAGGATCCCCACCCAAGGTTCCTAGTAGGGAAGTCAAACTGACAGAGGCTTTCTGCTTCCCCACCCCTGCAGACTGGTCTCTGTTGGCAATAGAGCTAAAGGGCAGTAGAGAAACCCCTTTGCCCTGCATGGTTTTTGGGGGGTGAGGAGCAGTGCAGCATGGGATGCCTGGAGGAGTGACACTAGCATTGAATGCTCTGTGTCTGCACATAACATTGAACTAGTTCAAGGAGGACCAGCTCCAAATAGTATTTGATTTTTCTAATGTGCTTTTGAATCATTCCAGGAAGTTTAAACTGGTCTAAAGTGGCCTGTACATCTAAATTCTTAGAATTTAAAGTGTATTTAGGAGGTGTATTTACACACTAACTTTTGGAGCCTTTTGAAAAGGGGAATGTTTCAATAGGGCAGCAGCTGGTACATTATAACTGGTATGTGCGACTGAGCTGAAAATGATTCAAATGAAGCAAAACTTTAAACCTGGATGAAGGAGTGTTAAAGTTGGAGCAATTTTGCTCCCTTTGAAGCATTCTGAGCTTGTTCACACATAACTAGAATGTACAGCTGACCCCTTTGTGAAAAGTTCCCTCTTTGAAAGGGTTCCAGGCATCCTGTGCCCACCCTCTAAGTGTCTGCATGCAGAAGAATCATTGACCTAGATATGAGTGTTCAATGCAGCCAGACAATGTCTGTGGCAACTTCTGGTTGCTGCTGCTGCCACTAGCACAATTCTGTCCTCTACCCCCTCCACAAGTCAGTACCCAGGGCAACTGCCCCAGTCTTCCCCACCCTACTTATGCCACTGTGAGCGCTGCACTAACTAACGATATTTGTAGCTTCTTTCTGATGGTCCCATGGTACTCAACCTTTCCCCCATGGGCCAAATGGATGGTGCCAGTCTGTCTGTGGGCTGGATCAGGCTGGTGGGCCCATTCCATGGGGGGTATGGGGGGCAGAAGCCCAGGCCCGATCCAGCCACATGGGGGAGGGGGAGAGACAGCTCAGCCTCAATTCTACCACGTGGGAGGGCAAAGGGGGGCAGGCCTGATCCAGCTGCATAGGGGCAGCCCAGGCACAATCCATCAACATGGGGGCTGGTAATTTGGCAGCAGGGGAGGGGTGGCAGAATTAATTTCCGTAGCTATCACACTGCCAAATTTTCCAACCCATGGGGACCCCATAGGCTGGATGCCATGGCTCTGCAGGCTGAATTTGGCCCACAGACTGAGATTTGAGCACCCCTGTGCTAGTCCATTCCTAGCACAGGTGACTGGTAGGGAGGGCACAGGGGGGCATGTACCCCACCCCCCGAGACTGGCCCCCGACTTGGCACCGCTCAGGACAGGGCAGTTTTATTTGCCATATGGGCTAGCAGCATGGGAGGGGGCACTAAGCCATGGCACGAAAGTATAGGAGTGGATATGGGGCTATTGACCCACCCGCGGGCCTGCCCACAAATTGTGTCCACCACCCCCCCCAGACTCAGGGGGCACAAGTGCCCCCTGATTCCTAGCATCTGCTAAAATACATTGTTGCCTAAAAAACCTTGTCCCTCTCTGAACAAGATAGTCTCTAAAGTGCCACCCCGCCCTACCTATTGCCTAGGTTTTCTAGCTTTGCATTGAAAGAAAATACACTAATATCACAAAGAATTGTGTGTGGGATTTATATTTAAACTCCTGCTGGCATCCTGTGTTATTTTTAAAGCCACCAAAAGAATTATGCAATTTGCATACCCTTTGTTAGAAGGTATAAAGAGCTTAGAAGCTCTTCTGCTCTCACAATAGCTTCGCTTATTAAATCTTGCTAATTTTTGTATTACTTTAGAAAAAAATCAGTAGTTTAGACAGTGTTAACCCTGTGAAAGACCATAGCATACCTCAATGTCCCGATTAAGCTGCCTCACTATTGCAGTTATGTTTCGGATGTGTTCTTCTAAGAGTTGCCTAGCCAACCGATCTCCTCCCCCTTTGTTCTGCATTCTATGCAGAGTGGAAACAATGTCCTCCTTAATGCGAAACGCGTGTTCCACAAGGGCCGCGGTTGTTTTCTCATGGCTTAGAATTCTGTCTTCTAGCTGATCCACTAGACTCGCAGATGCTAATGGAACTGCTGTCAAAGCCTGGCTATGGAGTGGTATATTTCGAATCCGTCTAAGAAAAGGAAAACATATTCAAACACGTGTATTATTATTATTATAAAATATGTACTCAAACCTCTATTGTGGCTTTTAGTCATAGTCATGGTTATGGGGTTGGTACCCTAGCATAAAGCACTGGGAAATACTGTCCACTCAGAAAGAAAACTAACTCTCAGAATACTTGATTGATCTACAAATTAAAAGGAGCAGGATACGTGGTATTTGAAAAAAGAAATGAGGACTTTCTTCACACTCCCTCTAAAGCATTGGTTCCCAACCTTGGGGCACAACCCAAATCAGGGTCCTCAGTAAGGTCGTGAAGGGTCTGCACACACACTCACATGCACACTCACACGTGCAGCCCAGGAGCAGCAGGTGGGCGGGCAGGGCAGGGGCGCCGTGCACAAGGTGGGCAATGGCATCCCCTCCCAGCCCCCAGCCACCGCCACACTCCAGTCCCAGCAACCCCCACGGCGCTAGGTCAAGAAGTCCTGTTGGTGGCCAATTTAGAGTCACATCAAAAAAAGGTTGGAAGCCACTGCTCTAAAGTATCTTCTTGAGGCATGTGCTCCTATTAATAGGACTTTGACATGCTTGGAGAGAAACTAGGATACAGAGACAGCACTTTGACTGGGACAGGAACTCAGAATATTTGTATTCAGTTTCTATTCAATTTGGCTAGCATGTGTGCAAACTATGTTACATGTGTGCATCCTTGTGTCTATCCTTGTTCATCATAATAACTGTAAGAAGTGTCTGTTGTACATTAAATAGAAACAGACTAAGAAGGAATATCTTAAATTGCTGTCTATTCTTTTCTTTGCCAAACAGACTACTCCTGGAGCACCAATACAAAAAGATTGTTCCCTGGGAACTGGACAAGTATGTCTAAAGCTTTAAAATCCAGGAGAGACTAAATACAAGGTTTGCACAGTATAGAAGCCAAAATTTCAAAAGAATTCTGTTTCCATTTATGTACCTGACCTAGTTTTTGGCCATTTTTTTCACAGGAGCTCTACACCCCACAGTTTTCAAGGAAAGCAATGGGGGCTCCTGGCTGCTGTGACTTCTGGCCACTGAAACATAAAATCTTTTAGAAATGTGCTGTAATCATTAGGGGAAGATTTTCAAAAGCATAAAGCTAATATAGGCGCCCAACTCCTTTCATACCTTTGAAAATCAACTCCTTATATCTTCCTTTCATTTTTTTTCTGTAAATGTTATTTGATATTCCCAGGAACCAAATCCTTTCAAAACCTGCTCTCACTTACATCTTGTTGTAAATCCACTGAAGTCAACAGAGCTGAAGAAGGATGTAAATGAAGGCCAGTTTGGCTGGGCCTGAGTTTTTACACATATTCCTTACTCCTGGAAGGTTTTCATTTGTACAAGTCCTGAGGTCTGTTGTTTTTCCTCAGTCCCAGTTGAAGGCTTGAGAAAGGACTGGAAAAAAAACTCAGCAAGGACTTCATGATTTGGCTCATGCATTAGATATGAATTCTCTATGTCTTCAGTATTTATTTCAGTTGATTTTTGCACTGAGAACAAAATGTTCCATGTTAAAGCATTATAATAAAATAGAGAATTAAGAGAGCTCTACTCCACAAAAGCACCCCTTCTGGGTTTGCCCCTGCAAACCTCTATTTGGATTCTTAATTTTGTAACCATACCTTTCAGTAGGACCAAGTGTCGGAAAGATGGGGCTTCGCTGTGCCATTTCCTATTCAATAATTTATGTCTGTTAAAAAAATCAACAACTTTATATTAGTTAACAGTTTATATCTGGCACTGAAATGATTTAATGCATTTGCTATATCTTAAAATTATGCTGAGAGTTTCAATGTTGGATATTTTATACAATATCACACTTTCAAAATACCTGTGTCCAAAATCTGATATAAAACAGCAAAAAGGGAAAGAAAATTTGTTGACTGAAAACAACTAAAGAGCTTTTGAAGATGGATTCAGCATTCATGAAAAGAGTTGGACCAGTGATTTGCAAACAGGATGCTGTGGGTGCTGTGCTGCCTGGCTCGTGTGCAACAATATAAGTGTTCTCCCCTCCTCCCACAACAGTATTTCATGGAGAAAGGGTGCCAATGGCTGCTTCTCTGAAACTGTCCCCCACACAAGCCCTCAGCAGTCTCCAAGCTCTGACTAATGCACTCTGCCACAGGCAGGCAGCCGTGACACATGGAGGCATGGTTTTCAGCCCAGATCATTCTCTCCAGCACTTCCAGGGCGAGCAGGAGGAGCCTTAAGGTCAGGTGGCTCCAGGCACTGGCATGTGAGAGCCCAAAGGAGCAGCCTTGGTGTTGGAGACTTTGCTTGCCTCTTCAGTGATAGACTAGGAATGGGGAGGCAAAAAGCGCAGGACACAGTGGGGTGAGGTCCTGCCCCTGCAGCCACCACCTGGAAACAGCTAGATGCTAACTCAGAGATTCTCAACCAGGGTACCACCAAATTCAGAAGAGTTATGGAGAGGTGCCTTGATTCTAAAAAGGCTGAGAACCACTGGGTTAAACCAACAACCCTGGAGGCTGAAAACCTCATTTTACTCACAGAACAGGTTTGGTAGGGCAGAGGAAAAACAAACCCCTGACACCAATCTGCCTATCTGCCTCAGACCTGATCAAAAGAAGTGATTTTAGGAATGAGGAGATATCATTGTTCTTGTGCTCATGCAAGGTAAAGTTTGCTTTTGGGAAAGGCTCCTATGAAACTAAGCAAGGGATAGGTTTTCTGCCTGAGGTGAATTTTACTTGCTTTCCTTGGCCTTTTTTATCAGATTTACTTTTAATGCTAGTGAGTGCCATTTCTGCTTTTGTGATGTTGATACACTCCTCCTAAAAACTTGGTGGAGATTCAGCAAAGTATTTCACACACTCAACAGGAAGCCCTCACATTATAAGCTCCAGCCATTATTGACCTAGGTAAAATGCTTTACAACTCATTTATAACATGACCCACCTCACCAACCTCAAAACTGACTATACCCAGTGCAGAACTCAAAAAGTATTAAACTTTGAGAAAAATATTCCCAATTTCCCTTTCCCCTAACCTCCTGGCTTTCAAATAACTCTGTGACCTCATCCAACTTATCTTCAAAAGCAACTGTCCTCTGATCAACAGCAGCAGTGTGAGCCCCACTCAGACAGTGGCAGGCCCATGGCCCTAGTGTCCTTTTCACTTCCTCCCCTGCCCGTACATATATATTGGGCATAGGGCAATACCTACTCTGGCAACGGTTCAGGGGTGGAGGGGAGGGGAGAGGAGTGGGTAGGAAGCAACAGGAGCTCCATACTGCTCACTTCACTTACCTTTGGTGCAGTGCTACACTGTCTGGCCCCTACGGGCAAGCAGTGGTAAGTCTGAGGGGCATAATTCTGGTACCCCCTCCTAGCTGGCATCCAGTACTGGTAGCCTGCTTGCCCTGCCCTGGTTATGCTTCTGCTAAAACCACTCCCAACCATGCAGTTGTTCCAGTAAAAGATATCACCCCTGAAAAAATCCTTGCCTCTCATAACTCATTAACCACCCCCTAGGTATCAGGGCTACATTCTTTTACAAGCAGAAGTGAGAGAATTTACAAAACTGGAATTGTTAGTGGTTTGCTACAGAAAATGGTTAGATGAAATTAATGTTGATTATGCTAGCTTTAAATTGTTTTGCTGATATATATTCAAGAATACATTTTTTGTCTTTCAAATGTTTTTTATTTATACCAAAATCTGCTCACACTAGAATCCACGCAAGCGCCTCAGTTTGGTAGTAAACTATACTCCAATGATTCTTGTACTTTTCCTGTTGGATGGATGGATGTATGAACTGTTTGACGTGTTTTATAAACATATTATTACTATCAAATCTAGAGATTTTTAAACGCACCAACAGTGGAAAAGCACCCAAAGTGCAGTGAAAAATTATTGGGAGGTAGGCATCTAATTCCTATTTATTAATAGGGTTACCATACATCTGGGTTTTCCCAGACATGTCATCTTTTTTGGCCCCCTGTGCTGTGTCCGGGAGCATTTTTAAAATCAGAGGAAATGTCTGAGTTCTTTGCTCTTCCTCTGCTCTCCCAGGCTAGCTGCTTGGGACTGCTTGGGGCTGGAGCAGCGGGCAAGGTGACTAGCTGTCAGGGGTCGCTTGCTCCCCACACGGGCCCCAGCAGGCCAGGTAAAGACACAGTGTGTGTGTGTGTGTGTGACTGGGCACGCACGCAATGTGGGAGCTGCTTCGGCAGCAGGGCTGGGGGGGCAGGGTCTGCGGGTTGGGAGTGAGGGGCACCAGCAGGGCTGGGGGGCAGGGGCTGTGGGTCCAGAGTGTAGGGCTGTGGCAGGGCTGGGGGGCAGGGAGCTGCAGCTCAGGAGTGAGGGGTACCGCAGGCCTGGGGGGAGCAGAGGGCTGTGGGTTGGGAGTAATGGGGCCTGGCAGGGCTGGGGGGGCAGGGGTTTAGGAGTGGGGGGATTGGCAGGGAACAAGCATATCACTCCCTTCCATCACAATCATATGCCCCTCCCTCCTTTCCTCCTCCCCTCCCCCTGCCAGGTGTCCTCTTTTTTGATCCTGGAAATATGGTAACCCTACATTTATATCTTGGAGAATTTTCCCTTTAGGCTAGGGACAGACATTACACATAAACAGGTTTAACTGATCAGAAACTGGTTTAAAACTCTAACAGAACAGATATTCAGTGCACATAAACCAGTTTCAAAATGGCTGAAACCAGCTGAGATAAATCAGGTTGAATGTAGTATCAGGCTTAACTGATTTGGCTCAAACCAGTTTATACAATGTCTGTCCCAGACCCCTTGCTGATTTAAGATAAACCAGACTCCCCCAGCATCCCAGCATGCCCCTCTGCTCTCTAGCCCAAGCAGGGACCAACCCTAATGGGGACACTGGACGACAAGGTCCTGTTAAGGCAAAGTAGGCAGGGAGGGAGTTAATTCTTCCCTCCTTCCCCTCTTCCCCCACTGCAGCTGGGGTCAGCCTGTCTGCCAGGGAGCAGAGGGGAGGGGGCTGCAGAGCTGGCAGACCCGGCTGCAGGGAAGGGATGGAAGGAGGAATTAACCCTTCTCGCTGCCCCCTTCACCTTAATGGGGCCATGCTGGGTTGGTTGTCCCACAGGGTGGCGAGGGGGACTCTGCTCTGTGCTGGGGGGGGACTCTTCCCCCTCCTCCTCCTCCTCCTCCCAGGGTAGGGAGGGGGACTCTGTAAGGAGCTGGATGGGGATTCTTCCTCCTCCTCCCCCTGCCCTCCCACTCCCATGGGACTGGGAGTGGGGGTGGTCCTTGCAATGCTGCCCGGCCCAGAGCAGGGGTGGCGGCTCTTTCCCCTCCTCCACCTCCCCCCAGAGGGACAGCAGGAGCATGAAGCTCAACTGGGTAGGGTGTGGGTGTGAGGGTGGGGTTATAGAGACCCCCACACACTCCCTCCATGGCATGCAGCCCCCACTCCCTGGCAGCAGCAGCAGGAAGGGAGATCAGGGTGCTTGTGCCTTGTGCAGGCATGGGTCTGGCCAGCGCTGTGTAGGGGGAGGGAGCAGAGCCTGCCCCATTGCTGGGGCTCCATGCTGCAGCTGCAGCTCCAGCACTTGCAGCAGGGGCAGCCCTGCACTGGAGCCTGCTGCCTTCCCTGCTCGCTGCTGTGCAGGTCCCTGCACTCTGCTGGGAGTAGAGAGAGCCCTACCCCCTGCTTCTGTGCGGAGTCCAGCGTGGTGATTTCCCGCTGCAAGTGCAGAGCTGCAAGGATGCAGAATGGAACCCTTTCAATAGAGGCAGCCAGCACTGCACTAGGGGTGAGGAGCACAGCCCCATGCAGCCTGCCTGGCTGCTTCTATCCCTGGGGCTCTGCACTGCACACTTGCAGCTCAACACTCACAGCGGGGAAGCCCTGCACTGGACTTCATGCAGAAGCAGGAGGCGGGGCTCCCTCCACTCCCTGCAAAGTGCAGGGACCTGCACAGCAGGGAGCAGGGCAGGCAGTAGTTCTCCAGTGCAGGGTTTCCCCCACTGTAAGTGCTGGAGCTGCAGGCACAGGGAGCAGAGCCCCGGTGATGGGGCATTCTCTGGTCCCTCCCCCCACACAACACTGAATGGAGCCACACATGCTCTGGGCACGAACACCCTGACCTCCCTGCCTACTGCTGCTTCCAGGCAGCATGAGCTGCACACCATGGGAGGAGTGTGTGGGGGTCCCTACACCTCCCACCCTCACACCCACACCCTGCCCAGCTGAGCTCCACAGTCCCACTACCACTCTAAGGTGTGGAGGAGGAGGGGTAATAGTTCCCCCCAGCATGGAACAGAGCCTCCCCCAGACCTGGGGGGGAGGAGTCCCACTCTGGGACTGGGCAGTATCCCATAGAGCCCCCTGTCCCCACCCTGTAGTGATGAGGGAGAAAGAAGCAGGGGGAAGAATCCCCCTCTGGGGCCAGGCAGCCTCACAGAGCCTCCCTCCCCACCCCATGGCAGCAGAGGGGAGAGGAGGAGGGAGAAGAGCACCCCCAGCTCTGAACAGGGCTCCCCTCCCAGCCCCGCAACAGTGGGAGAGAGGGGGGAGGGGGAAGTGATGAGGGGGAAGAGTTACCCTCTGAAGCCAGACAGCCCCATGTGCCGTGTGCTGGGATTGCTCTCGCTGTCAGGGTGTCGCTGGGGCAGGCCTGCTGGGGCCTGGCTACAACTTCCTCCTCAGCTCAGCTTCCCTGTGACCCTCTTCAGCTCTAGCGCCCCCAGGCTTCTAGCTTCAGCCACTGAAGGCATGTGCCTGCATTTCCTGAATAGAAAGGGAATGCCTATACCTTGGAAACTGATTCATTCTCTGCAGGTTAGACTAACCTGCAAAGATTGAATCAATTTAGGCTTGGGCTTTTTGAATGTCTGTCCCCAGCCTTACTGTCATGAGTAGTCTCATTAACTTCAGCAGTACATTTCTGTAGCACTGGGCTTTGAAATCATTACTCTAGGGTGGGTTATCACTAAACTGAGAATTATAACAACTTAGAGTAAATAAGGATTTGCCCTCGTGACTTAACACTGACAGCTGTGATCAAGTGAACACACCTAAAACTAAAGACAACTATAACTCTCTAAACTACTTCCCCTGTGTGACCACATGTTTAGGTATACAAAAATCCATAGAAATAATGCTAAATGATTTAAAAGCAGTTAAAACAAGAACATTAGCTCAAAGGCAACAGTTGTCTCCTAGCCTTGCTTAAATATTGCATGGATCAAGAGTGACAGGTGGTTAGCATCAACAGCTGTACCATAGTTACCAATCTCTGAGAAATTTTACAACGGTCAAAGTTAAGAGACATAACTCCAGGCGAAAGTTTCATTAATTTAGCAACTCAAAGGCAGAAGAATGCCTTACAAGAATGTTTTATAATTATCTAAATGAACTCAGCAACTGATATTAAAATGCCAGAAATTTGTGGTTACTATTCAATGTGAATTGGAGCAGGGGTGACAGACAGACAGACCATGGGCCAGAATCAGCCCACAGAGCCAGGTCAGCTGGCCCCCAGCTTTGATTAGGGGATCTTCCTGCAGCTGTAGCCAAATGCCAGCAGCACTGTGGGAAGGATCCCAGCACTATGGTTCGTTCCCATAATAGCAGCCAAGCACTTGGGATGCTAGGCCTCTTCCCGCCAAGTCCTCGACCTGAAGGTGTGGAAGGGGTCATGGGACCAATCAATAATAACAGTTTTTTGTAATTCAAACCTAAGTGAGCTCTCATGTATATTAAAAATTTTCCAATACAATAATACAAGCCTTCTATACTGGGTTATAGCCTAACTGCACTTTAACTAGGCCCCCTGATTTGATTCTAATTGTATATTGCAGTCTTAAGAAAGAAAGGAAATCACACACAAAAATAAAGTATATTGACTAATGAATATCCAGGATCAGAAGCTGGAAAAAGCAGCAAGCACAGTCAGCTTTGCTAAATTATGGTACTTACGGGAAATAATAGAGGCAGAAATAGGAAATGTTTTAAACTCAGTGGTTGATACAAAAACAAAACACATATGGGACAACACAGAATGTTAAGAATGTGTGTGCTGAAGAATAGAGCAAAATTATTTAAATGACAGCAAATTATTTGGTAGAACATGTTCCGCAGGTGCAAATCTTGGCAGCTAGACACCTAACTAACTTTTGCCTGTAAAAACAGCGAACACTGAAAATCTGGCCAGAAGTGACTCTTATTAACCATTTATTTTCTCCTTTGAGCAGCCACGCTTTGAAAAGTAGCAACTATGAAGCCTATTTATGATCTTTAGTTGTAGTCAGCCAGTATCTGAGGTCAGTGCATAACACTATTAACTTCAGTAGAGCAACTGTGAATTTTAAACCAGTGTAAGTGAGATCAGTATCTGGCTCAATATCTTTGTTCTCATCTGAGTATTTGCAA